AGAGTAGCGTGTACTCTTGATTTCTGATTAGGTATTCTCCACATGGGCTGCTCATGCTTTAACTTGACTATCTTGTGTTGTTTTTTATCCAACCGAGCAGCATTATATTTGATAGACTAGCAAAAAATGGAAGGTTGTATGAGCCAGATACAACCAAGCATCTCAATGAATATGGTGAGGCAGGCTTGCGGACGTTAGCGCTATCATACAGAATGCTTGAGGAATCAGAATATGAATCTTGGAATGCTGAGTTTCTTAAAGCGAAGACATCCATTGGACCTGATAGGGAATTGCAACTTGAGCGAGTCGCAGATTTGATTGAGAAGGAGCTGATCCTTGTTGGTGCAACAGCGGTTGAGGACAAACTACAAACAGGGGTAACGATGATCTGTTGATATGAGTTGTTATGTCGCTGATCCTGCTATCACGCTAGTAGCTGTTTTGACTTGTTGTGTTATTTCTCATATTGTATCAGGTTCCTCAGTGCATTGATCGCTTGGCACAAGCAGGTCTCAAAATCTGGGTTCTGACGGGCGATAAGATGGAAACTGCAATCAACATAGGGTAAGCTCTTTTGTAAAAGAGTTGCTCTTAACAGTAATATTTGTAACCCTACGTGTGACAATGCGTCTTTCTTCTGAACATTTTGTTCATTTCTTCTTTGCAGATACGCATGCAGTTTACTTAGGCAAGGAATGAAACAGATATCCTTGTCCACAACCGCTGGTGACCAAGTAGCCCAGGATGCACAAAAGGTACCTTTGCACAGCATTTTCTCATATACTCCCTCTGTCCCTAAATATAAGTCTTTTTAGATATTCCAATGCGGACTACATACGAAGCAAAATGAGTGAATCTGCACTCTAAAATATGTCTATATACATCCGAATGTAGTCCTTATTGAAATCTCCAAAGAGACTTATTTTTAGGAATGGAGGGAGTACTATAGATGGATATGGTCTATATGGTAGTCATCTTTGCTTTGCATTCATCTTTGGAACCTGAGCAGGCTGCGAAAGAGAGTCTTATGTTGCAAATCGCCAATGCTTCACAAATGGTAAAGCTAGAGAAGGATCCTGACGCAGCATTTGCTCTTGTTATTGATGGAAAAGCTCTTACATTTGCTTTGGAAGATGACATGAAGCATATGTTCTTGAATCTAGCAGTAGAGTGTGCTTCTGTCATATGTTGCCGTGTGTCTCCAAGACAGAAAGCACTGGTAACCTCATCTATCACCAATCCATGATCTGGGTTTTATACATAAGCCAATGCTGAGTTTGCTCGTTTTCACGTTGCAGGTGACCCGACTGGTCAAAGAAGGCCTTGGAAAAACCACTTTAGCAGTAGGTGACGGTGCAAATGATGTGGGCATGATTCAAGAAGCTGATATTGGTGTTGGTATTAGTGGGGTCGAAGGCATGCAGGTCTGTCTAGATTATTACTATTCTCTTGGGAACTAGTGCATTGTGAGGAGATGTATTAATAGTTTAATTGTAACTGACGATGGCTTCTTTCTTTTGTCCAGGCTGTGATGGCGAGTGACTTTTCTATTTCCCAATTTCGGTTCCTTGAGCGACTTCTTGTTGTACATGGCCATTGGTGCTACAAGAGAATTGCCCAAATGGTGCCACTCAAAACGCTTCATTTGTTTGTTACATTCTGTTGAATTATATTGTTTCGAATATGTGGTATAATGTTTTCTGAGTCCTCTTTCATTGAATTGCAGATCTGCTACTTCTTTTACAAGAATATTACCTTTGGACTTACAATATTTTACTTCGAGGCATTCGCTGGATTTTCTGGGCAATCAGTCTATGATGATTGGTTTATGCTGCTTTTCAACGTTGTTCTTACCTCTCTACCTGTTATATCACTTGGAGTATTTGAGCAAGATGTTTCTGCTGAAATCTGCTTGCAGGTATGTGACAGAATATTCGACTTACTTAAGCCTGTGACATACTCCCTCCGTCCGGAAATACTTGTCCTAGAAATTGTTGTATCTAGACCTATTTTAGTTATAGATACCATTTTATCCGTTTCTAGGACAAGTATTTTCGGACGGAGGGAGTATATGGCTTATATGAAATATAAACATGCTCGGAAAGGAAACACCATAAAGTGTACTTCTGGGATGTGTTGTAATGGTGTGTTGCATTTTGTTACGCTGTATGTGGTGTGTTTTTTTTGGGTGGGTGGATGCTAAGAGCCTGTGACTGTTGCAGAAGATTCTCTTTATTTTGTGTATTTGCTTCATCCATATCAGTACGCTTCCGAAGTTGAAGCTAACAAAGGAGATATGAATAGTGTGTTGAACTTTGTTTCATCAGCCACTACAATCGCAATTGATCCCGAATATAGTCCCATTTGGGGGTTAGGTAGTATTGCGCCACTGCCTAGTACCAGAATAACAACATTATGCTCATTACATTGCTATGCATGTTTAAGAGAAGTAACAAAGAAATTGTGAATACTCTAAAATTTACTCCATAAGTACTATCCATGCTTTTTCATGTTTGGGTTACACTTACACATAAGTTTCTATCCTCTTTCAGTATGCTTGTTCATTTAATTCATGTGTGTGAATTTACCTTCCCTTTCCGTTGATATAGAATGTTGGAATTTTAGAAATATAGTTTGGTTTAATGTGCATTGAATTCCATTTCTTCATTCTTTATTCAATAATAACATGAATTCACAGTTCTATGAATATCTACTTCCAAGTATTTATGGATGAGTGATCCTAATGAAAGGCACAAGTCATTCTATGTACTTCCATTTAAATTTCTGTATGTGTTGGCCCTTTGCACCATAGGACTTCATCTGGATATCCACCAACTGATATGGCATAATTTTCACTTTGCAGTTCCCAGCGCTATATCAGCAAGGACCAAATAACCTTTTCTTTGACTGGTACCGGATTTTAGGATGGATGGCAAATGGCCTCTACTCATCTCTGGCGATATTCTTTCTCAACATCTGTATATTCTATGATCAAGCAATCCGCTCTGGTGGACAGACTGCCGACATGGCTTCAGTGGGAACCACCATGTTCTCCTGCATCATCTGGGCTGTCAATATACAGATTGCTCTGACAATGAGCCATTTCACGTGGATTCAACATCTGTTTGTGTGGGGCAGCATAGGGACTTGGTATGTCTTCATTATCACATACGGGATGGCTTTGAAGTCCAGAGACAACTTCCAGATTATGACAGAAGTTCTCGGGCCTGCTCCCATTTACTGGGCAGCGACCCTTCTGGTGACTGCTGCTTGCAACATCCCCTACCTGATTCACATATCCTACCAGAGATCATGCAATCCACTTGATCACCATGTGATTCAGGAGATCAAGTACCTACGGAAAGACGTCGAAGACGAAACAATGTGGAAGAGGGAACGGTCTAAGGCGAGACAGAGGACCAAGATTGGTTTCACCGCAAGGGTAGACGCAAAGATTAAGCAGCTCAAGGGGAGGTTGCATAAGAAAAGCCCGTCATTAACCATCCATACTGTAGCGTAGAACACCTCTGAGTCATCTGGTAGTCTCGTCGACAGTAGTTGTCGTCTTACTTGCTCCTGCAAGGCAGCGGTTTTTGGCTTCACCGAGTGATAAGGCGATTTTTTCTCTTTGTCCAGCCTAATTTTTTCTTTCAATTTGTTGCTGTTCTTTTTCTTGTCCATTTGTGTAAGAAATGTTGGGTTGTAATTGGTGGCCTTACCCCCCAAGTAGAAGTTCTGAAGCCAGCCGTGTAAAAAGTATAGCTCCTTTCAGTTGGAAGAGACAAACCTACCGAGATAGCTGACAGTATATGTATATCTGCAATTTTGACTATCCTTGTGACTGGTATCTGCAATGCTATCCTACCGAGATAGCATTGCCCCTCCGTACTGAACAGAACCTAGCATTGTATTCTTCTTCTTTTTTTGACTTGCGAGCACTGTATTCTTGGTTGTTCATTGTACTAGACTTTCCTATACGACAGTGTCAGTTAGCATTCATACAAATAGCAGAAATCGTATCTAACATGGTGCGGAAAATCACTACGCGCAGCATAATTTGGAAAAAGACAGTCTTCTCTCTTCCACATCGAGTTGCTGATGCAGTTTGCTTCCATTGCTAATGATCCATTTACATTATCTATCCATAATGTTGGCCAGTGATAACATATTTAGCGGCTACAGTATGTGCGTGTGTCATTTGTGTATATATATGTATCATATACAATAATCATCCTAAGAGTGGAAGTAGTGCGGTTGTGTGGATCGGCACATAATTGGAGACACTCTCTACTTACATGCAGTATGGCGAGGAGTGTTTGGGCACTTTCTAAAGGGATTTAAAAGATGACATGGTAGAGTACATGAGCCTCAACCAAGACAGGAACGCGAAGCAGTGGCTGTTTGCGGTGAATGAGACACTTCAGATGATTTCCTCTGGCTAATTGTGACTCTATGGGCCATCTGGGCGGCTAGACAGAAGGTAGTCCATGAAAATATTTTTCAAGGCGTCAGTAAAAAAGCAAACTCGCTCCCGTGCGGCTCCTGCGGCCGCACCGGGGCGCCCAGATCCAGCCGCCGGGGGACCTCCCCTGCCTCCCCACCTCCCCTCGCCGCCGCCGGAGGTCGTCGCCGGGCAAATCCCGGTGGCGACGGCGGCGGCGGGGCTGTTTCTGTGGCGCGGTAGCTGCGGGCGTGGAGGGGGCTCGGCTGCGAGCTTCGGCGGCGGGGTCGCGTCTTGGCGTGCCGGGGGTGCGCGGTCCTGCAGGGGCCGCTCAAGGTGTGAGACGATGCAGGCGAGGTGGCGGACGAGGAGCTGGACGCGACGGTGCTGACTGGTGGTGGTTGCGGTCTGCAGAGCTGGGCGGCGACGGATCTGGGAGTTCTTTGCCCAGATTTGGCACTGGTGGTGCTCGGGGCTGTGAATCGGGGCAGAGGCCCAGCTAGGCATGTTCACGGATGCGCGTTAGGAGGTACGTGGACGCCGGGGCGGCGGCCCCGGGATGGCGGCAATGGCATGGAGCTCGTCGTGGCTTGAGGTGCTACGTTCAGGTTCGTGCAGTGGTGGTGGTTGGCGGCAGCTGGTGGTGGAGGTGTGTTCTCCAGTGATCCCGACGCCATCCGGTGCTCTGGATCCGCAAGTTCTGTTATATGGCGAGGAGCTCCGGCGAAAGCACTGCCTTGACCAAGGTCAGGCCGACGACGGCGGCGCTACTGGCGTCGTCTACCTTCTTGGAGGCGTCGTTGTGGAGCTCCGTCGACATCATGACTGATTTGGCTCTCCGGATGAAAATGTTTGCCTCGGTATTCCGAAGCGGGCGGCGGCGGCGTCTACGATCGTGACCTCCTTGGAGGCGTTGTTTGGGAGAGACTGTCGCGAGCGATCTCTTCACCACCAAGGTTAGTGGATGTTGGGGCAGCGGCCCCGAATTTGTGCGTCGAGACGGCGGTCTCGAAAACCAATGCGGTGCCAACTCCATGAGGGAGGGTTGCTGCTCAGCATGGCTTGGGTGGCGATCTTGAGCGGCGAGGGCGGCAGGGTCGTCGGCTCGGTCGACGCGTTCAAGAGTGGACGGTTGGACGATATGTCGGGGCAGCGGCCCCGGAAGTGGTGCGACGGCTGTGGTCTGCGGGCAGTCACCCTGTGTAGCGTGGGTTGCGGGTGGCTGCGTCGTGCGGCGTTGTAGCTCAAGGGTGAGCGGTGGTATGTCGGGGCAGCGGCCCCGGAAGTGGTGCGACGGCCGTGGTCTGCGGGCAGTCACCCTGTGCAGCGTGGGTTGCGGGTGGCTGCATCGTGCAACGTTGTAGCTCGAGGGTGAGCGATGGTATGTCGGGGCAGCGGCCCCGGAAGGTGGTGTCGGTGGACCGCACAGGGTGCAACGGAGCGGTGGATGTCGGGGCGGCGGCTCCGAGACTTTGCAGCATTGAGAACTTCAGCTTCGTGTCGTCTGGGCGACGAGGTTGCCTTCGATGTTGCTCGTTGTCATATCAGGAAAGCGGGTCATGTGGAGTGCATGCTCTTCATTTCTACGGGAGGGTCTCGTGGCTGCTCCTCTCATAGTGGTCATGGATTCTTCTCTCCGACAGCGGTGGAAGTTGTGTGTTCGACATGTTGTCGGCAAAAGTGGGCTTAGTCATGTGTGCGTGATTGTGTGGGAGTAGGCTTGGCCCTTGTTGTATCGGTTTTCGCCCAGTTTTCCACTAATTAACTAAGCAATTTTTTTGTGCTTAATTAATAGATGAGGCAAAGCTTTTGCCTTCGTTTCAAAAAAAATATTTTTCAAACGCCATATGGAACACACTGTTTCATCAACTCTTACATCGACGAGATCAAGGTCCTCCAGAAACCAACCACTACAGCCGCTGGCTCTTCAGAAACCCCGAGGCCACGGCATTGGCTTCCTCCTGCGGTTGGGCACTCCAAAGCGAACATCGACGCAGCTGTATCAAGGGCCGGTGGCAAAGGAGCCGTGGCTGCAATCTGTAGAAGCCATTCAGGAGTGTATGAGGGGGCGTCGGCGTGATTTTCAACTACATTGATGAACCAACAGTACTCAAGACACTGGCGATCAGAGAAGCGTTGGCCTTGGCAAATGACTTGTACATCACGGTGATTTGGTGCCCGAGCCCAGATGATCCTGAAATCTTCGGCGCCAGTTCCAGGCTCGGGATCCGAATAATTCGTTCTGACGCGTCTGACATCGAGCGTGTAAAAAAGGACGTACGGTGAAATACGGTACGAAACAGTGGCTATTTCTGGGCCCAAAGTGTATGGTTCGGACGGCGCTCGCGCACGGGAACTCTGGTCCGTGGACCAGATCGTTACTAGTCCAACCGAGCCAGGGATCAGATAGGTGTGCTGCGACGGAAGTGGACGACCGAGTCGTTTGTCCCTCTCCCCCCACCTCTGTCTCCGTTCTGAGTAGGTCCTTGCGGCGGCGCTCGTTCTGCACCGGCGGGCACGGAGAAATGGAAGATGGTGGGGTTGAGTTCCTGCTTGATGTCATTGGCAGGTAAGTGGCCTCAGATCTGCAAATAGTTTTTTGAGGATTTGCTCTTCAGGCTGTTTTTCCTTGAAGAAGAGACCTAACGAACGGGCCTTAGTGGCGGCCATTGATATCTTCTTGCAGGTTCCCATTACGAGAGGAGTTCGCGGACAACCTCGAGCACCCAGATCCGGTTCCCCTGGTCTTGTTACCAAACAGCGGAGCCGGCCTTGCCGTTCCTGCGGACTCAAATACTGGGTCTGTTTGCGCTCAACAGCTCGGCGGCGATGGGAATGATATGGCAGGAGTTGGAGTCCGCCGTCGTGCGGATGCATCACCGACGAGGTTGACTCAGTCTACTGACAGAGTCAATCCAGAGGTACCTGGGAGGACAAAAAGGTGTGAGCCCAAATCCTCCCGCTGTTGGTCTGTCACTGTATGTTCGTCACAACTGCACAGGATTTTTTTGGAATTTGTTTACTTCTGTAATCGTTAGAAAAAAAGTCCATATACACCAGAAAGTAAGCTTGGCCATTGCATCCCATCCTTAGTAGTGCCTTGTTTAACAGTCAGAACCACATTCATAGTACTGTTAGTATTCTTGTAGTACAACTATTAGACTGAATATTGTTTTAGTGGTAGAACTCGTAGACTGAATGTGTACGTTGCCAAATTACAGGTTATGGCTGGGCAGTGAGCCACCAGATGACGATGGACTCTAAAGTCATGGGCTATAGAGTTGATTGGCTAAAGAAGGTAAACGGAATAACTGGAACAAGTCGAGCATCGGTTATCCACATGCTCCTAATTTTCTGATTTTCTCTGTGTTGTTGAAAATCAACTTTCAGTTCATGTTCCCGGTGCATTTCATGGATTGCTGGTCATTATATATCTTGGATACCGATAAGAAGATTGTGATGGTGCTTGACCCAATGGAGACAAATCTGTCGGATGAGATGAAAATCAAGCATGGGCCTCTAGCAAGGAAGTTTCAGCAGAAGTTATGCACCCTATTCAGTGACATGTTCGGAGCCGGTTTGGTTGAGACCACTGGATGGTCGTTTGTGTACCCTTTGGTGGCGCAGCACGAGCCATGCAGTAGGCGTGTCTGAGTACCCTAGCTAGAACATACCTAGGCATTTCAGGTTGATAAAAGAAAATTGCCTGCAAAATTCCTAATTTCAATGTTGTTTCCTCGCAGGGAAGACAGTGGCGTATATGTTGCTCACTACGTCCTGGAGTTCACCGGTCTATACCTTAGATCAACTATAACCCAGGTATGGAACCGCCTAACCTATTTCTTGACTAGCTGAAACTGATAGGCATGTTTGATGAAAGTAATTAATAGTTTTCTCCCATTTTTGCTTCATCACAGGGTCAGATCGAGCACCTGCGCAAGAAGATTGCATACGAGATAGTGATCATGAAGGGAAACTAGGGAGATATCCCGGAGTTCCTGTACGAGGAGATCATTGACTGACGAGAAAGACATTAGCAATTCCAGTTTGCATGCAGCCCAGCAATATCTTTTGGCTATGCGTGTACTCATCGTTAGATGGGCACGTTTAAGTTCTAGTGTCATTTCGCATTAGAAAACCCTACGAGCATTGTGCATCTGGAAAGCTATGGGCATGGGATGTATCCTAATGGAGATCTAATTAGAGTAATTTGAACTATGTAGTACGTGTTAGAGATTATGTGAACAGATGACTGATCTGTCTGAATTTAAATACAGTATGCTGCAACTACTTGTGGTTATTTGATTCACTGCTTAACATACCTGAAGTGGCTGATTGTGACCGGATGGCACGGAAAAGAGAATAATGGGTGAGTTCCAGAGATATACTGTACTCCCTCCGTCCCATAATATAAGAACGTTTTTGACACTACACTAGTGTCAAAAACGTTCTTATATTATGGGACGGAGGGAGTAGTATTTAACACGGGCTCGTCTGGTAGCGGTCTGTGAGTCCGGCATGGTGAACGGCTCAGGCTGGCTCAGAAATATGGCTGAACCGGTGCCTCAACTGCCTGTTCCGTGTGTACAGTGTGACATGCGGTTGCATTCATTGCGCTAGTGAGCAGGGCTAAATATGGAGATATACAGTGGTGAAATACAGCAGTGGGCGCAGATCCACATGACAGCCTGCGGTATAGATTTTGGGAGCATCTGAGCTCGAGCTCAGAAACCAATATTCGTTAGATCTAGTAGTTTTATTTTCTGTTTATTTAAACATGAGTTTAGGACCTCAAATGTCAAGGTTCACAATCTCTCTAAGCATGCACTGACATTGGGGGAGGACCGCCATACTTGGTTAGGCCACCCCGGTGACCTTTTGTTCGTCCCAGTTTCTATGGTGATGGAGTAATAAAGATAGCGAGTTTGCCTAAAAAACAAATGAATCTTTGCAGGAGGTTTGATTAGAGGAAAAAAATTCCTATGAAATATAGTGTGAATGACTCCTTAAAAAAATCCTATAAGATTCAATCATACAATTAAAAAATTCACATAGGAAAAAATTCTAATGATTCTGGTTCTCGAGTTTTTTTGTGAAAATCCTTTTAATCAAAGAGGCTTGCATAGAGCCACGGGAGAACAAAGATCACCACGTGAACCAAATGAAGCAATCCACTAGCACGACAGTTCATGGTTACATGTGTTGACACTGCATGCAATTTGCTTTTCAAACTTGTTCCATTGTGTTTCAACTATATATTATATTTGTTCAATTTTGGTTATATATTTGTTTGACATTTTTGTTAGTTTGCTTTATAATTTCCTTTCAAATTTATTGTGATTTGATTTCAAATATGTTCAATTTGAACTAAATATCATGTTTGCTTTCTATTCTCATTTTCTCTCCTTTAAGTTTAGCATTTTACCGTCAGTGCAAGATTAATTTATTTGTTCCTCTGTCTTCTATCTATAATTGTGAATGTTGGAAATGGAAGGGAAGTATGTGGCCTGGTTAGCAAAATCAAAACTCATATAAGTATGTGGCCTCATAAAAAATGCAAAAGAAAATTAGGTCGATCGAGACACAATGTAATATATGGGCGGTTTTTGTGATCCCTCGGACATCAACATTATTGTTAGAATGTGAGAAGTGTTTGTCTTGCACATGCCTAACCATTTCGGACCTTTTGTCATCCGTTCAAATGTATTTAACCGACTCCATGTTACTGTTGCAACTTTATTGGGGTCAGTTGCTACACCTTCAGCATAAATGATGTGTCCCCTCAATAGTAGGTGAACCAAAGGTGCATTCAGACTTCTTGAGAAAAAGTCGTCAAATAATTTCCATAACATTTATCAGGCAATATTGTTTATGATCTTCAAGAGTTTTACAGTATATGAAAATGTCACAAAAAATACTAGTACAAGCTTCATGAGATATGGAGGGAAAATCTTGTTCATTGATACTTGAAATACTGCAGGGGGCATTAGTAAGACCAAATGACATTACCAGGTATTCAAAATGCCCAAGATATGTCTTGTGC